TGAAGAATACATTTTTTTTGTTTAAATTGTATTTGTATCTCACTGAATGAGATACAATTTTGTATATTTTTTTTTTTTGTGAGTATCTTGTTAACTGTCATATTGCGCTGAAATGTAGGTGAAGAGTATATTCCTCTGGCACACATTTTCTGTTGGTGAATGGTACAAAATATTGTCACTTTACGGTTTAACTTTTCTAATTTTATGGTTTTATTTCATTTAGATTAAAAAGTTTTCCCATCATTTTATTAGTAGAAAATGAGTTTAAATACTGGTAATGTAAGTCAACAAACTTCGTTTAAATTATTCTCATCCCTAGTAAATTGAATTCCGAAGAAGTCGAAACATTTGTACAGGGGAAAAGTTTTTTTAATAAATTTAGTTTTCTTAATATAACATGTGCTGGCTATAAAAATAAATATATAATAAAAGTTTAGAAAATAAACAATTAAATTAAGACAATTAAATGGTGAAAGGTATTGGTGGGTTTTGGGTTAGGCTAAGGCCCCTATGCACTGCGACCAGCTTGATATATTATCAAGCAGTGCACCCCTTTGTATTTAGACATTTAGTGTCTCGAGGAATCGAACCAGCTCCTTCGGACGGACTTTTGAAAGTGTTCATCCTCTAGTTGGTATGCACCTAAAATTTTGTATCTTCTGTGGCCTAGTGGATCAGTTGGTAATCAGATGTTCCATTGACTCTTCCTCATCACAGCAAAATCTGCAAATATTAGTGTCGGGTATACCTAACTATTTAATGAAAAATTAAATTTATGGCTACCTTAAAATTATCGTCATGGCTTTGATCGATGAAATATGGGTTTAGAACACTTAGAACACTGATGATAGGTTTTTGTACCTGTCATGAACACCATGAGTACCTGTGAGATAACATAGCGACAATCTAAGCACACTGATGTTAGGTTTTTGTTCATAATTAAAAAATAAAATATTTAAAAAGTTTTGACAAAAACCTATCATCAGTGTGCTTAGGTTGTCGTTATGTTTACTCAAAGGTATTCATGAAAGATACAAAAATCTATCATCTATCATGTTCTAAGGTTGTCGTTACGTTATCTGACTGGTATTTATGATCATCTCCTCACCTCAACAAAACAAATATGAATGAGAACACAGAATACTGTTTTTTCAAACATTTTTTCTTGAAAGAAAAGTGAAAGTGAATGAAATCTCTAGTCACGTTCTGTTTAATAATCCGGCTTTGATTAAGATTCCAGATCATAAGTAGATGATTTAGCTGGAAGATCCTATCTTTATCTGATGTCACAATGTCCACAACGGCTAACGGAGCATCTTCAGTTCATTTAGAGTTGGTTAGAAGCACAAATGATCACTCATGGTCGCAGAAGCACAAAAGATTACTCATGGTCACAGTGCTCTGGTCCACTTTTCTATTTTATTTTATTCTATTCTATTCTATTTTATTCTATTCTATTCTATTATCTATTCTATTCTATTCTATTTTATTTTATTCTATTCTATTCTATTTTATTCTATTCTATTCTATTCTATTCTATTCTATTCTATTCTATTCTATTCTATTCTATTCTATTCTATTCTATTCTATTTGATCATATCCTTTGATTAGTGATCATTGAAAACATTTCTTGGTTTAGATAGCAAAATTTAGACTACAAGTGTGAAAGGATGAATTTGTATCATGTCAAATTTAGATTTTAAGAAAATTTTTATTAGCCAACTGACGCAACTCGAGTTGTGCTGCTTTATGTTGGATTAGTTGACTAATTAATATGACGCTGAACTCTAATTTTCACATATTATAAGTTCAACCTAAAAAATTATTCAGGAATAATTCAATCTAAAAGGTATTTTCATCGAGCACTAATGATTTGTATTCGGCAATACTTGACAGACCAGTATGGCCAGTCACAAATTTAATTTAATTAACTAAAAAATAATAATTTTGTTCAAACCATTATATTTAACATAAATAGTTTCTATTGTATGATTAAATCTAAATTATATTTTATTATAATTTAAATTATTTCTCTTTTGTCTTCTTCTTTGGCTCCACAGTCCAGTGCGAACTTTAGCCTTAAGTGGCCTTATTTAATTCTAAATTATATGTACTCTTCTTTTTTATTATTCTTTGGCACTACAGTTCAGTACAAAGTTTAGTCCGTCCCCTTAAAGGTTGCCTAGCAATAATAATTGTTTCGATGCAACACAGCTTAATTTAGCTTAACCTCTATTTGGAATAGCCAGATCTCGCCAATAATGAACCTGAAAAACAAAAATACATAAATCGGTGTTTAGTAGTTGCAAAATTTTTTCCGAAGCAGTTGTTCAGACTAAATCATCTGTGCTCGGCTGTCTCGTTTACAAAAAGATAAACTGTACCACGTGTAGCATGGGTAAGTTTGGCTTTATTATTACATCACTACTTTAATAGAGCACATACTTTTGCTTAGTACACCTACGCCTCCATCCATATTTGGTGACTTTAATATTGCTCACAATAATTTAAAATAAATGAACTTATATTTTCTTGCTTCATTAATAAATTCGCACGTTTTTGTCAATAAAGCAAAATTTCCGCCTCATAAAAGTTTGAGTAAAAAAAAAAATGTTAAATTAAAATAGGCAGTTTATTAATTCAAGTATCAAAAAATTCGCCGAAATGATTATAAAAATTTGCTAAATTGTTTGCATCACATATGCGGCAATTTTCACATTTATCTGATAATTCAATTAATTGAGATACAATGGCCCAGTTGCGCGCACTTGAAAACAAAAGATACTGGCAATTGCACTACATCGACAACGCAGCTTAAATTTTAGTTAAACATTTTGATGAACAAAAATTATTTATATTTTTAATTAAAACTTCTATTATTACTGAGAATCAAACAAAGCATATTATTAATTTATTATTAATAAAAATATTAAATAAAATTTAATTAACATAGAATAAAGTTATAAGTTCTCCTTTAGCTTAAAAAAAAAACCTTTTGCATAATCATTTTCAATGGAAAGAATTAAATTGTTTTTATATTATTCATGAAAATTCTCAAAAAGGACTACAATATCTATCCATAAAAACAATAAAGTACAGAATAACGCTACTTTAATAAATGTGAATAATTTGGTACTTCTTCTCCTATATAAAACCGCTTTATTGTCGTATCAAAATAATTTATCCTAATATCTCTTCGATTCTTCACAGTTCTACTCCATTCTTTTTATTTCACGTATTATTATTTTTTTACTATCTCTGAAGCTTTGTCCTCAAATGTTAGTCTTCTGCGTATTTCCTATTCCGTAATGTTTTGCTTCCAGGACACGGTTAGAAATAATCAATTGTGACATCCTTGAAGATCAGTTGAAGATCTTGAAGTATTGTTGTTTATTAATTTTCTGCAGATACATCTATTATTTT